TAAGATAACCGTCCACTGGCTGTAGCTTCATATTAAACAGAGGGGTGTCAATATTCTTATCTAATTAAAGGCAAGACACCAAATATTTGCCAGGTTTCAAAATTTGTGTTGAAATGTCCAGATGATCTGCAAAAGAAAAAGTGAAACAATGCCCGTTTCAATCCAGCACTGTTATGCAAATATCAGGAGTTGGGAGCATTGACATAAACAGCTGGTAGCATTAATTCTCCAGTCAGGTGCCATTAAGTAATTGTAAAAGAAAAAGGCAAAAGGGCATTAAATTATCATCCATCAAACCTCAAACAATTTAGGCAAAGACAAGTTTAGGACCAGACATTACTTTTATTTTTAAGTCCTTCAAATATATATAGTTAAGGGTTCAGGGTTAGAACAGTAAAAGGTGTGGTGTCCCATGATTTGAAAGGCAAAGAGAGAGGGAGAGAGAAATCCAGTATGTCATCAAGTCCACCATTGATCAGGAGCCACTGTACAGTTCAGGCAACGGGCCAAAAGCCTCTCATCCAGACTAATAAAAGTCTGTTGGGCCAAGTCAACAGCAACTTTCTGTTGAAGCCACTGCTATAAAACAGGAGTTTATGTAACTAAATGTTCCACAGACATGATGGAGAGCTAACGCCAAGTCTGTGCTGGCCAGAAGTGACTTAATGCAATTTTTCATTGAGGATTTTTTTAATCAGTCTTCCTGACAAAGTGAAACATGCTCCTTGGAAACAAAATGATCTCTACACAAGGGCCATTAATAAACACTGACACTGCTGTGGAAGATTGTGTGATACAATCGAAACCTCCAGAACAGCTACTAAATGAATCTTGTGTTAAGATAATTTTGTCAGTGATTTTTTTCATTACAGTAGTATTTAAAAACTACATCTGAAAATATAGCAACGTTTTGTTCCTGTGACACCAACATGTCCACCAACACTCTCTTAAAATGTCATATTTCATACTTTTTAACTTTGATCGTTATAAGACAGTGTCTTCACTGTTTTGGGAATGTGGAAAATCATAAATTATAAATATTAAAGAAAGTATTCCAGTGATACTCTATACATCTATATCTGTTCATTGTCAAAAAATCCAATAAAAATACCAAAAACAATAATGAACTGATATTACTAAGTATTGTCAGTGCATATGTTCCATCATATGGTCATTGTCATTTATTAATATTAGCTAGCACATATTAGCCAAACACAGCCTGTAACAAATACACTCTTTACTCCTGTTTGGATGATGTTTTTCTAAAAACTACAGCTGTTATAGTAGAGTACTTAGCCTCTATAAACATTTACATTTTCAGTAGGAATGAATGGGCTTGATGCTTTTCTTATTTTTGCATCTGAACCCACAAGTTCATCATTGTCATTTATGTAAGTGCTCTATAGGCAGCTCTTCCTGTTCTGTTGTTGCTAAATATCCATACATCCCTTTAACAGCAAAACCTGAAATAGAATCTGACACACACCTTTTACATCTATCACCCTCTGCTTCTTCTCTGTGTGTCTTCTACCTCGTTACAGATGCCTCGATGTGTCTTGACCCAGACAACAATCCAATCAGAGGATTTGAATTATGGATGGACTGCATAACAAAGACAAACTTTGACCATAGAAAATCATTCTATTGGCATCAATGAGAGACAAGAGAGCTGTCCTTTTCCCGTCCATATCTGTCCGTTTGACCTTTTTACATTCAATGGAGACAGAGGCAAAGTACCTCGATGAAAGATTCTCACTGTCCTGCTGCTAATCTGTCTCAATCCAGTTTTCATTGCATGCTATAAAAATGCAGATGTAAATACCACCAGTGTAACTTGTTGCCTTTGTTTAAGTTGCTCAAAAAACTGCTGTCCATCAGAGGCATGCACATTTCACAAACTACGTCACAGCACCTAAAATTTATGCTTGAACCTTCACCCGCCAGTTATACAATGACACCTTTTACACATGTAATTTAAGATTAAGATTTACATTAATTTTGTGTTGTGTTAGGTTGTGACTGTAGATTCAACAGTTGACAGTTGTAGCCTTACTGACTGTGTAAAGAGTAATGAAAAAGTCAACTCACTAAAATATTCACATATTATATTATGCTAAACCAATGGTGTCACCATTGTGAATATGTTGTTGAGAAAACAATCTGAGCAAATCCAGGACATTTAGTAGCTGTTCTGGCGCCTTTGATCATATCACATAGTGTTGAGTTTGCCTGCTTATCATGGATGTTCAAATTTCCATTTTTTCTCAGCACTTTAAGGGGCTATTTGTTTTTTTTTGTCTGCCGCTGAGCTTCGGCCATTGTTGTGTTTACAAGACAAGTGGTTATAATATGCCGTCTGAGCAGTGCTAAATTTTTAGGGCAGGCTGGAGGCTAGAGTGAGTTGTGTTAACTCACTTGCTGTAACTAATATAATGAGTTTGTTTGGCAAACGTTACGTTTGCTACTTTATTCAGTTGTGCTTCTTGTTGTGTGTTTAGTGGCTGCCTTCACTGGGCTTTGTAACACCTTGCTGAGGACATGAAAGGCGGGGGTAGTTGTGGTCGAAGGGAGGCTGGAGGTGTGGCTGCCAAAACATTTGTTTTGGTCTGAGATATTGGTGGTCTAGTGCAACATCTGGCGAATTTCAAAAGCAGACCGTTTAAGTATGACTGACTACATGCATTGCACGTGTGTTTAATTATAGAATAACTGCATGCATGTAAGCACTGCGGATTCTGTCTGTTGTATTGAGGTCAGGGCTACAACTCATACGGACGCTTTCATCAGCAAATAGCTCTAACATGATCATTACTTGATTATAGTGCACATATAGTACATATGGCTACAGAGTCATAAAACATGGGCGAGCCCATGTGTTCAAATAACTAGGTTTTATGTGAATCTGATGTGTCATCAGTTCTTCTATTTCCTGCTTTAGCCAAAATGTTTCAGCTGCTTTAAGAATACTGGGAATGAAAACATGAACTCCAAATGTAAAGACACCCCTGAAACTGTACAGCTTACAGTAACACACAGCTCAATGATCCTGTATCCTGTAGTAGTTATTTTTACTGCTTTTGTTTTGTAGTAGCAAGTCAATTAATTATTGATCAGTTAAAAACCTCTACATGCACACACGCGCAGAAAGCCTGAACCAGCTGATGTATGCTTATAAGGTTGTGTTTGCTACAGGCTCAGTTCAGGTGTTTTGATTTTACTTAGGGGAGATAGAGACATAATATATGTGGGATTATTGAACGTTTACCTTTCTTACAGAGGGCTGGGAAATGCTGGCATGCTGTCAGTGGGGATCTTTATTCAAGATGCAATATCTCCAAATTGAGTGAAGTTGCTATGATTACTGTTAGTTCTAATTGCAGATGTATTTATCTAACTGATCAGCTAGTTTCTGATTATTATTGTAGGACAAGAGTCAGTTTCAAAGTCAGACACATTTTTCAAACTAATCACTCCTACTTACAATTATAATAGTGTTACACCTCTATGACTTGCCAACAGTGAGTCTTTAATTAACTGGCTTAGATTTAATAGCGGAGACTGAAGATAAAGGTATATTGATAGCAGAGGGACCAAGGTACATTTTCACAGTTTCGTCCCCTTGGAATTATAAGCTTCTGTCTGTGTTCTGAGCGGTTTTGAGATACTCATCTTAAAAGTTTTGAAGGTGTCATGCCACTCTGGAAGGAAGAGATGAACTTACTTTGTTGCAAAAAGTTCAAATCAATCCTAAAACAACCGTAAAGGACCCTTTGAAGATGCTGGAGGAATCAGGTACAAAAGTATCTATATCCACAGTAGAACGACTTCTATATTGACATAACCTGCAAGGCTGATCAGCAAAGAAGAAGCCCCTGCTCCAAAACCGCCATATATAAGTCAGACTACAGTTTGCAACTCCACATGGGGACAAAGATCTTACTTTCTGGAGAAAGGTCCTGTGGTCTGATTAAACAAAAATATATCTGTTTGACCATAATGACCATTGCTATGTTTGGACGAAAAAGGGTGAGGAACCAAAGACAAAGAACACCGTCCCAACTGTGAAACACAGGAATGGCAGCATCATGACACCCAGGTTTATTGCAACCTTGGGTGGGGTAAAGGATGAGGAGGCAATTTTGACAAGGAGTTCAGTCTTCAAGTGGTTTGATTTAAGGTGGCGTTCCTTTATCCAACGTGATATGCCGAGATCCACGCAGAGACTGTGGGGCTGTCTGGTGGAACGATAGGTATAGTTGGGTGTCATCTGCATAGCAGTGATAAGAGAAGCCAAGCAAGCGGATAACTTAATCCAAGGAGGTGGTGTATATTGCAAAGAGGAAGGGTCCCAGTACCAATCCTTGGGGCACTCCAGTGGAGAGGGAATGGGATAAGGACATTTGCCCTTGCCATGACACACTGAGGTGACACTCAGATGAGATGGGATTCAAACTAAGAAAGTTATTTGCCTGAGATGCTCATGTCTGAGGGTATAGATAGCAGGATGCGGTGGTTCACTCTATTAAAGGCTACTGAAAGGTCCAGCAAGATAAGAACTAAGGACTGAGCTGCAGCTCTAACTGCCCTTAGGGCTGCTGTCATAGACAACCGAGCTGTTTCAGTGGAGTGGCCACTCTTAAAGCCTGACTGATTTGGATAAAGGAGGTCATTCCGTGATAGGAATTCTGAGACCTGCTTAAAAACTGCCCTTAATGAGGAATAACTTTTACTTTTATAACAACTTTATTTTCCGAAAGAACACACACATATGCTTACTGTATATACCTTTAAGTTAGGTGAACCTAATCTAATAACACAAAACTAATCTTGTTGCTCTTTGTGTTTGTAAATTAAACCATCAAATATAAAAAAAAAATCGCACAAGATTCCAATGAAATAATCAGTGCTAGATAAACCATCACTCAGACTTTATTTGAATTCCCTTTTATAAGAAGCATTTATAAAAATATGTCTTATTTATAGATACGACTAGATTCCTGATATACAAGCATGGATATAGATTACAGTACATTAGGCATCACTGTATTTTCATGTCAAAGCATTCCATTATCAGATGATATATACAGTTTACTGTAGGCTATCTCAACATTTGCATTCCATAACAAGACACAGAGAAAGAGAGAGCATGAGGACATTGGGACTGAAATAGCAGTAGCTCTTCCACACAAGTGAATCAGCTGTATGCTTGATTTGTGCTCATCACTTTGAGGCATCTGATTGGATAAAATCTATCCTTCCTGCTCATTAGCTTAAAGGTCAGATGATGTCACGCAGATGTTTGTCACCTGAATTGTCACCCAAACGGCAGCCCACCATCCTGGCTTTGGTTTCAGTTGAACAGAGGGGGTTTGAACCCATGTTTGCATAATTATTCAGACGCACAAACGTCTCCCTTCTGCTGTCAAAATGTCTTTCTCACTCAATAGGGCTCCAAGGCGAGACACTTGGATTCACACCCTGCACTCAGAGTATAGTGTACTGTGTATGTCGCAGGATATGTAGAAGGAAGTACATGCTACATTTGTCTTTTGACAGCATTCGATTCATTGCCAAGGTTTCTATTTCAGTGTGTGCAATTTGCCTTTGGTGATACATCATCATGGTGATGCTGTACTGTGTCCATTGTAGGAGATTTGAGGAATGCCGTTACTGGAGTTGTCCAGGATCTCCTGTTAGGGGGACATACAAGCACACTTGATAACTTAACATGCAATGTTCATGCAACACTGAACATGCAGTACGTTGGAGCTACAGGCCATTGTTGCTGCCATGTTCTCCCACCTTCTCAGTCATCTCGTGTGAGTGGTGCAACGAGTGTTCCCTCTCCAGGAACATCCTCTGCTGCTCAGAACTGGCCAGGCGACAGGTCAGCCACGTAGATAACGTACATGATGAGATCCCTGGACAAGACATTTTGATAGCGTACACATGTCACACTCATAAATATGAACTTTTTGTCATGCTGTCTTGCAGTGCACCATAGTGTCGTTGTGTTATGTAATTGTGTTTGTTTACCCAGACAGGCCAGAGTCATGGCAGCCAGGTGGATCGAGTGCATCGAGTCTGGTCGTTTGTTCAGCGCCCGAACAAACTGGAAGTTGAGGATGCCACCGATCAGACCACAGATACAGCACGCTGAAAACAGGATCATCTGGGGGACACAGAGAGAATGGTTTATGGTAATGCAAACGGCAGAATTGATATCCTATCAACAAAACTGTAAACAAACTGACAAAATGTGATGAGATGGGAGATATACAAACTACCATTAAGCTTCCATCTCCATCATTCTGCTGTTTTGGATGACGGCTGCTGTGATGAGTAATGTGTATCAGTCAAAATAAATCTCATTTCCTATTAGAAAATTGGATTGCTCTGAAAGCACACTGTCTCTTCCAGAAATATTGCACAGCTTCTAAATAACGCTTGCATTACTCACTTGCTGTATTTGTGCTTGTGTATGTGTCTCATTAACGTTTTGAGATATTACTTTCAGTATTTAATCAATCACATTTTAGGGATAACTTTCTTATTATTATCATTATCTGGAAATCTCAAACCCAGTATGAGAATCTGATTGTTTTTCCAGCAGGATCTGATGGGAAAATGATTGCAGTTCCTTTACTTTGCAATCAGAATAATAAAATCCATCGATACAGTTCTACTCTCCATTCATTGTGTATGCACATATTGTGTCTGGAGTGCAGGTTCTCTTTCATTGCTCCCAGTACAGATGCCTTTAGTGCCTTTAACTGCATGGAAAAGGGCATCTCCAATTTCAGTCATTATCCGGTGAAGTGTGGAAAGCGGCTGGCAGGAGTCCGGAGCCAAACCAACCTAATGCAATCATCACCCCACAGGCAGACAAGAAGGGAGGGGATGGAAGGAGATGAGGAGAGGAAGATGGAGTGAGTCAGAGCGTCAAAGCTACTGAGAGAATGAGATTGAACAGAGAAGGTATGGAGAGACGGATGAGAGTGATGAAAAAACGGGAAAGGCATGAGGAGAAAGATGCCGACAAAGACAATAGGCGGGGAAGGGATAGGGTGATGCATATGGGAGAGAAAGGTTGAGGGATGTCTCTGTTACAGCAGACTGTGCTGACACTAATCCATCATTGGTGCCGTCCCCACAGGAGACAGAGACAGTCGGAGAGAGACACAAGGACTCTGAGGTGCTGAGAGACTGGGAGGCGATCACTGAGCAACAAAGATGGAGAGAGCGACAGAAAGAGAAGAGGAGAGGTGACTGCTTGTCTCCTCTGGTTTCCTCAGATGTCTCTTTCAGAGCACTATGCACAAGCTCAAAGGACAACACACACACACACACATACACATACACACACCTTTGGGTGACTGACATGATTGGTTAGTTTTTACTTGTAAACTTCCAGGGGTAGATTATGCAAACTTTGTGTGTGTTATCAATGACATGCTGCATCCTCCAGTATGCATCCTTATGGATATACAGTCTATACACTTCAGAGCCCATGTGTGTGGATTAATATTTAATGGCTGATGGGTGACAACACATTATATTTTCTAGTGGTTTCAATAAATATTATCAGTATCAGTATCATAGCCCAAAGCTTTTCAGTACATAACAATGAATAATTATTTGGGCTTCATCTTCAGTATCTCTCACGGGCTCGTTTGTTTCACCTAATGCTCATCATCTCCAAAAATGTACTCTGAATTACATTGGCAGTTTGCTTCGACATCATGAAATCTGATACAGAGGACAATGAACACAGAACACAGTCGAATCGGCCTTGAAACTCATCAGTCAGTGAGACTCTTACTTAATCTTGGCAGGTTTTGTTTGAGGTTAACACAGTCACACAAGAGCTGAAGATTCAAGCAAAAAAACTGAGAAGAAGATGCGTAGGCAGAGAGACAAAACAATGTCTAATATTCTCCAAACTTGAAGTGTTACTCGTGAGACTGGCTGTTTTTCTAAAGCAAGAAATTTTGGGGAATTTTTTGTTGTTTTGGGAAATATGCTTATTTTGTTTTTTTGCCACTAGTGAAACGGGAAGATTGACACCACTCTCATATCTGTTTGTTAAAATTAATCTACAGTCAACACATAGTTAGTTTAGCTTAGCACAAAGACTGGAAACTGCTAGCCCGGTTCCATCAAAAGGTAACAAAATTCACCTACCAGCACCACCTTCTAGCCGACCAATCACATTCTAAACTGTTTTACAGAGGATTTATGTGGAGTCTCCACAAGTTGCCTGACAACTGGTCTAGCAAAGTGAATTGTTGGCTTTTGAACAGACTAAACAAACAAGATATAATATTTTATCTGTGAATTTTACAGGTGCTGGTAGATGGATTTTGTTACTTTCGGACGGAGCCAGACTATCCGCTTCCCTCTGTTTCCAGCCCTTATACTAAGCTAAGCTAAATATCTCCTGGCTGTAGCTTTATTTTTACTGAACGGATATGAGAGCGGTTTCAATTTTCTTGTCTAACTCTCACCAAGAAAGCAATTAACCATATCTCCCAAAATATCAACCTATTCCTTTGAAACACTCCCTCATGCAGGAATATGCTGTTTATAGAGCGCAACCACAGTGTAATAGAAGAAGAGGAAAGGACAACAAAAGAGGGTGCTGGGTCTTAGGTAAACAAAACAACTAAATATATACGAGTACTTACAATAAGACCTGTCCTCTTTCGTGCACACAGCACTCCACACATCCCACAGACCAGAAACTGGAAATAGAGAAACAACAACAAATGAATAAATGAACGGTTCCAAAAGTTCTAGTTAGTTTGAGAAAATTACCAGTTAAGTGATATGTAACTTGAAATAATTTTATCACCTTCTCCTCCCTGTCTTGACTACAGAAAGGGTGAATGTATTCTTTACACTCAGTCACTCAGATGCAGTTTTCTCCCTCTAAAAATAGAGTGTCATTGTGGGCTCCTAGCAGGAAGCCATATTGTCCTGGATGTCAGTGATTCCGACTGAACTGGAACAGCTCTGTGTGTGTGTGTGTGTGTGTGTGTGTGTGTGTGTGTGTGTGTGTGTGTGTGTGTGTGTGTGTGTGTGTGTGTGTGTGTGTGTGTGTGTTCGTGTGCATGATGCAGTGTTGTAGTCCAGGACTCGGACTTGAGTCCAACTCGAGTCCGAACCTGGAAGTTTTGTTCTTAGTTTTAGTGCCTGCGCATGTTCGTAAGTGCATTTGTTTGGCTATTGTGTCACATTTTTCACATGTCACATGACAGCTACGTTGTTTGGGTGTAATGTAGACCTTTTTTTCTTTCTTTTTTTTTATGTCAGCTCTTTGACTCTTGCACTGGAGCCCATCTTGGAACTCGACTCAGACTCAACCTTGATGACTCGGACTGGGACCCAGGTAATGGGGGCTCGACTCAGACTCGAAAAGACTTGACTCTGCCTCGAGGTTTAGTGACTCAACTACAACACTGGTGTGATGTCACTCTTTGGCTTCCTCACATTTCCAATCACAGTATCAGTTACACTGCCTGCAGTAGTTCAAGAGTCATTAATGGACACTTGGAAGCATCTTATAAATCAAAATACTTTCACTTAAGCCTGAAGGTTTATTCTTGACCTTTGATTTTTGTAAGATTTACACAAGGTCAACTTACTTCCAGATTTCTTCTGGAGCTTTCAGCCCCGTCTTGTGGCCTTCATCAGTAAGTTGACATTTTAAGTTAAGATTTTTTTGTCAAGCTACTTTCTCTTCTTCATTTGTCAAGACATGAAACAGTTTGAATGGGTATTCGAGTTCTCAGTTTAACTTTAAGTAAGTAAATAAGTAAGCACTCACAGACATGTATAAAAAAATTTCGTGATCCTTTCATTTACATTTGTGGCTTCTGAAGATATAATTCGTCACAAGAATTTATTTATTTAAAAGATGATTAGGTCTTTTGGATTTAGATTTTAGAAATTAGACACTCAAATTCATTTTTACTTGTCACAAAATTAAAATAACTACTAAGAAATTCTCATGTTTGAAGAAATTCCTTCATAACATAGGCCAAAGTCATGGAAATGCACTGCAAGTTAACAAAAACTAATGACAATCACTTTTCTTCCAGCAGGGCACTAATAAAAACGATTATTCGATTCACTTTGGGGACAGTGGTCAATGAGTCGTAAAGACTCTCAGGTCCTGACAGGAGATCTAAACCTCTGGGTAATCACGAGACACGGACAGCTGACTCAGCAGACAGCGCTCAACAGCTGTGAGGTTGAACACACAGGCATCACATTGCATAACAGCTTTGCAGCAACTTCACACACAGCACTGTGGGAGCACACTCAAATGTACTGTACACGGTATGTGTCACATCACTAATAGCTGTCTCCCCCACTCTGGTTCCTGCACACCCACATATGTACACACACTTTAGTCTTTTAGATATGCCAAACTTTGCAAAAAAAAAATCTGATACAGATATTATGACTCATATTGCTTGAGCTCCAGGCACTTAGTTATTCTTAGCCACAGCCAGTGAAACACAGACTGTGTTTCCCCAGCTGGAGTAGCAGTCATAGTAAAGTATCTGATTAGAGGTTAATTATGGCTGCCAAAAATGTCAGAAACTCATCTTTTCACTGCAGCAGCAAAATCAAGACAATGAGGCTGAGAGCAGCGCTGTAACACGAGGAGACATATGCAGTAGAGGGAGAGGATGATTGTGTGTAAAAGCTTTGACCCTCCTAAGCACTGAGCAACAATTCAAGCATGAATTAATGAAACCAATCTTTAGCTCCAGCACCGAGGCATCTAGTGGGCCAAGTAACTCTGAGTGTATCTCAAACATCTAATGGACAAACACAGCCAAAATATTGACTCTTTACTACAGCCAGGGTATTAATACTGTTAAGAAAAAAGGGGGAGAGCCTGAATGGTTAATATTAGATAAACAGCCACCGTCATAAACAAAAATCAATGTAATACCCCAATCAAACCAAAAGCTGTTTGCAAGTCTGGCATCATGGAAAAGCCCTTAAATAAAAAGATGAAATAACTTTTTTTTTAATTAAAAAGGTGATTTTTAGTCAGATTTGAAGTGTTATTTCATTCAATCAAACATTATTACTCGTCAGTCGTGTATATGAATACTTACAGAGATGATATAGCTACACTGAATGTATCTCAAAAGCATTTCTTACAAAGGTGGATACGTAAAAAGAGTTTAGTCTACATCCCTGGAGCTACTTATCCTGGAAGTGGAAGTAAACAAGGTAAAAATCAAGGGTAAGAGTTGTTCCTAGGACGTACACAGAGTCCGCTCCAGACCGGGGACGCATCGCCCTGCTGCGGCTTGTGCTCGCCCCGGACCCAGCTGATGCCCACGGCTCCCAGGACGATGCTCGCCACACCCAGGCCCACCTCCACCAAGGACAGCAGGAGCAGGCTCCACAGGATCTTGCGGCTGGAGCACATCCTGCCCCGGGCATCTCTCCAGCTCCAGCAGGAGGAGGCGGCAGGAGGCGGACCGGGGGTGAGAGAGAGGAGTCCGCTTCCCGGTGGGCCGAGGGCGGCGCGGCTCTATTTCTTCATGCCCGGCTGGAAAATAATGGCTGTCCGAACAAGTAGATCCAAGTAGTGTGGAAATGTTAGAGGTGAGCAAAGTATTCAAATTGCTGAGAAATTGCTGTCTCTGCGTCTGGTTGTTGTTTGTAAAGAGAGCGCTCCGGTGAAGTTCATCCGCTTGAAGAAGCGCGTGTGTGCTGCCTGGCGCTGCTTAAGGTACTTAAGCACCACTGCAATCACACACACACACACACACACACGCTGCACGAATACGCGCACAAGCGCACACGCTCACACTCGTATCATCCAGGGCAGTAGCCAAGATTTTATAATTACTGAGATCAGAAGTCGCAGTCTCCGCTCCAGATTCAAACTCTATAAGCAAAGTATAAAATGAGAGCATAAATAATCATTCAGGGCAGCTGACACCGCCAATCCCTTCCTGCTGGAATTAGATGGACCTACTCTGGATCAGTTGAATAGAGTTAGCCTACTGACAGCAATTGAACAGCACCCTTCAACAAAAAGACAATTCAAAGTGCAGAAAAACACTTAAGACAAGTTATAAAAGAATTACAAAATCGGATGTGTCTTTAGATATTTGCAATTTAAAAATGATACAATGCAATAGATGATAAGATGGAAATGGAATACCACATGATAAAAGGATAATAGTATGTTTACAATGCACTAAAAATATGAGAACATATTCTCAAAATTACTTTAATAAAGTGCCAAACAGAAAATTTGCTTGTTAATATTATTCCTAAATAAAACTCCCAGCAACTGCACATGCACCTTTTATGAGCCAGGGCAGGATTGTGTTAAGTTCATTAGAAAGACTAACTGACTGGCGGAAATGACAGTATGTCGATCTCTAGAGGTCTGGGTTTTCATTCATGTTCTTGCTTTAGCCTCAATTATTACAAATGAGACCACACATTGACATAATTTCTGGCTTTTGCTCCCCTTTCTCCCTTTCCCATACCTCACCAGACAGAAATGTAAATGTAATTATTCAAACTTAATGATGCTGAAAACCAAATTAGATCATTATCTGCCACTGCAATTTTTATTCTGTATCACTTCAGAAGTAATCAAGCCAGCTAGGACCTTATGAGTCATTGCTCTCATTCACAGATGTAGTGTCAGGTAATTTCAGGAAGTAGGTGACTCAGGTTTGTATTGTGAACCTGTAGATTACACTTAAATGTGACACAATATCTTTAATAAATAAAATCTGTGTGGATCTAATATATATAATATCAAGCTATCCCTGGAAGGAATTAGTATGAGGTATTCTCTAGTCTTTGTAAACTTAATTGCTGCCAGAAGGTAATGCTAATGAACACTGTTGTGTGATTAAATTGAACATGCCCACTTTCATGAATCATTGTGAGTTTAATAGAATTATTATTATTTCATTTAATTATTCCATTGTGTTTATCATCATGCCAGCAATCACTTCCACAGTGATGGAGCCATCCTTCAACCATCCAGCTTTTCAATTTCATAACTTAGTCATTCACAAATGAAGTGGCATTATCCAACAGACAACATTTTTTCTTACATACCTCTTGTGGAAGCTGAGTGACACAATACAATGGAAGTGATGGAATTTTATTTGTGCTATTTACAGCGCTGAAAAGTTACATTTAAAAACGAAAATGTCTTTTTTGACAAACAGTTTGTCATCATTCTGATTAATCCCCAGAAAACATTTGACAAACAATAAAAAAAAAACTATCAGCAAGGTAAAATACCTCTAGAAATAAATACTATTTATTTATTTTTCATTTATTTGATAGTGATAATACTTTATCAAAATATTCTGATGTGAAATATGGAGTGCCTCAGGGCTCTGTTCTTGGTCCTCTGCTTATTTGTCTTTATATTTTACCTCTTGGCCAAATAATTTGCAGTGATGGCTTTAATTCACCATTATGCTGATGATACTGAATTGTAATTGCCTATAAGGGCTGATGACTCTTATCAAATTATGAAGTTAGAGGTCTATTTGCCTGCTGTGAAAAGCTGAATCTCTTGAAATTTTCTGCAGATAAAACTGAGATGCTGGTCATTGGCCCTTACTTCATCAAGTAACAGTAACTGTCTACAACTGTGTTATTTCCCATATCTGCCAGCCAAGAATCTGGGTGTGACATTTCATCCTACCCTCGCCTTGAAATCTTAATTCATGCCATTGTTTCATCAAGACTTGATTATCAACATTTTGTTTTCTCGCCTGCCATGTGCTCATATCAAAAGTCTTCAATTGGTTCTGAATGCAGCAGAAAGAATTTGACCTACACCCAGAAAATTTCTCCATATTACACCAATTTTAGCTTCCCTTCATTGGCTCGCTATGTCAGATTACTTTAAAGGGATAGTGTGGGTAATTTGACATGGGGTTGTGTAAGGTAGTCTTGCATAGTCAGTGTGTTACCTGCAGTACATTTGGATCAATGCACTGCCAGCCACGAGAGGCAGTCAGGAGCACCGGCACAGAGGCAGAGCTATGTGAGGCTGTAAATGGGGCCATCAGAAAAAACTTGTTTTAGACACTTTTAAAAGATGGCTACCGAAACATTCCAATATCCGTTTAAATGTACACTTCATGTAGAATATTCTCAGTGCTTTATCTTCCTATCAAAACAAAGTGAAGTTTAGCTTTTTCTGATTCACTCAGCTGACCTGCTGCTGCGGCGTAATACAGTGCGCGCTGTAGCTGTGCTTGTGTGTAGGAACACAGTAGTTCAGCGTTTGAGAAAAATGTAGTACAAAAGGAAAGTGCTCATTTGGTGAGAAGATTACGCGCTGAAAATATTCTGTATGAAGCATACATTGAAACAGATATTGGATTGTTTCAGTGGGTGTCTTTTAAAAGTGTCTAAAACAGTTTTTTCTGCTGGTCCCACCCACAGCAACACTAAGCTCTGCTAGTGTACTGTGTTCCCCACCGCCTCTCCTAACTGGCAGTGCGCTGATCTGAATGTACTGCAGGTAATACACAGATTATGCATGACTACCTCTCACAACCCCACGTCAAATAACCCGAACTATCCCTTTAAGGTGCTTTTAATGATGCACCAAGTTCTAAATGGGCTCGCTCATTCATACCTGTCTGATCTCCTTAAACCTTATGTTCCATCTCAGGCTCTCTGTTCCCAGAAATTAGGGCTCCTGTCTGTCCCCAGAGTTAAAAAGGCATCTGCTGGCAGCAGAGGAAAAACCTCTCTGCTGACATCAGACTATCTGAGGCTTTCAAATCCAAACTTAACATTCATCTTTATGCCTGAACTTTCAGTTAGCTCCTTATTCTTTCACAACTTCAGGCGTTGTACCTGTTACCATTCTACCACCGTTTCACGGGTTGGTCTCAGTCTCAATAAATCAATTAAACCCAGTATATTGAGTCCATGTTGTCCTGCCAACGAGATTGCTGTAAACTTTCTGAAAATCATTGAATCATTCTTACTGATTGTTTGTTCCCTCAAACACATGAGCGCCCAGGCTGTGTGCCTCTCTCTCTTTCTTCTCCCTTATCTCCCCCTCCTTCTACTTCATGTCCTCTCTCTCTCGTTCTCTCTCTCTCTCTCTCATAGTTTTGCACTTCCTCCTTTCTCTCTTCCTGTTGCAGGTCTTCCTGCAAACCACCTGCTCAACACCTTGGATTTTATATCTAGATATCTAGAATATTTTTGAACTTCATATATAATTCAGGTTTTTTTTTACATTGTTCGGAGCTGAATGTGACAAAACGTTGTGGTTAATTTCAGCATATGCCACTTTACAATTGGCGCGCCATATGTGATTTTAAATTATGATGCGTTGGAAAAAGTCCTCTTCCATTCTGTTAAAATGTTAACACCAGGGATAGATACACAGTTTTAGAAACAACACCAAAATGCTCTAAGTTGTTCCAAATTCTCAAAGAATGAGTGTTGGTTGCCATATGCTGCATTTTGTGTTGACAAAATATCCAAACTATTTCCTGTATTTCCTAAGTTGTATCTCTCAGCATTTCAGCATCATCTGCTGTGTGGGCAGCAGCCCTGCCAAATAAACAAGGCTCTTATTAACTATTAAACACTTCACAGCAGCGACCACAAAGTAAACACACACTCACATTAACACAAAGATGCACAAATGCAAGTACATTCGAAGAGTGTGTGTGAGAGTCCCAGTGCAGAGTCAGTGGCCTCTTTTTCCTTCAGTCACAGTGAAATTGGACCTCTCTCTCTCCATCCTCTGTAAGGAGGTTGTACATTTAAACACTAATGGACGGACAGATGAATGACTTAGTAAGCAGAGTGTGAGCCAACCTGATTCAGCTCCACTACAGACACCGGAGACCTTGAAACATGCACTCGATAACATGTGATGTATGATCATGTAACCAGGTATAAACTAATAAATTAAAGAGTGTTAATCTCTACACGCTGACCTTTAACCTGTAACTGTAAAAGTCAGAAAAACTACTTCAAAACTTAATCTGAGGCAAAAATGCACCTCCACCTCTCCCTGTTCCAGTTTTCTTCTCAAACCTTTTTTCATCTATCAGCACTGAAACAAGACCAGACTGTGAGACCCAGAATATTTTTGTCCTATTTCACCTTTAATTACTGTTTATCTGTTTACAGTGGTGCACCACAAGAGGGCCCTGTCACACAGTGAGAGCCTGTCAATATCTACATTAAGAAAACCCTAATAAACAGCAGCTTCAAGATGAGGATGTAGTGCAGGGAAAACTTATCTTAAAACAATGTAAAGTAAAATGCTGCTTATATACCGATGCATTAGTATTAACAATCTAATAATGTAAAATATAATAATATATCAGTAGCGGGGGACATTAATGCAGAACTGGTATTTGTACTTCAATACAACTCCATTTAGATGATAATACTTTTACTAGAGTTTGAATACAGGGCTTTTATTTGAATTGAAGTTTATATTATTAAATTGTTTTTACTGAAGTAAAAGATTGTTATGATTGTTTGATTAATTATATGCACTGATTTTTGATTCCTTCAGCTCATGGAGGGACAATGTTTTATTTTCAGTGCCATTTTAATTTTAATCTAGATGATTTATTTACACACTCACTCTGACTTGTGTGCAAAAGACACCAAATGAGACAAAACTGGGATCACATTTGTACAGTATGAGATAGACTGAAGACTGACTTTGGTCAAAGTCTTGAGTGTGTGCGTCCACTCTCAAGGTGAAGAGTTTGCCTTGAAGTTTTCATTCTCTACCCTTCTACTGGCCACATGAATTGTTTGTTAATTTACTTAAAATCTTGTCTACTTTCCCCAGAAATGCTGTTGGCTCCTGATCGAAGAGTTATTTCTTTCTCTACTCCTTCAACTGTAGCCAAAATAAAGCACGTAAGTAGTATGAGATCCAGACACTAGGCGATGCACTCATTCGTTCTTATTGAAGTTGCTCACACAGTGATTTAGGAACAGTTGGAAGTTTTTTCTCTTTCAACACATTTCACTTTAAAAACCTCAAGCTTGAAACATGAGTCGTTAGAGATGAGGGAGGAGTACTCTAAAGACTTAACTTGTCTTTTTTCTGCTCCCTGTGGAAATAGATGGACCACTGTCCTATAGCTGTCCTGACAACTACATAGCTTCCTGCTCATCATCTCTTCTTTGTACACATGAGTAAAAATGTGTGCAGACTTTAGTCACAAGTTGCAAAGCATTCATATGACATCACAAGATAGTTGAATATTTACAGTATTTCTGTTGCTGATTAACAAAAGTAACATTCATCATTGAGTGTGTTTACATGCGCATCAGTATCCCAGTTTTGGGTCTTAGCCACTACTGAGCCACCACTCAGGCGCTACATGTTCTGTGCCAACAGAGAGTGTTGAGAAACCTGTGTGAGGTGTTTACATGCCACAGTGTAATGGTTTTTATCCAGGCACTGCAGGTAGCACATCCACGTTCCTGATACCAGGATAAGATGTCTGTGAATGTTCTCATTCATCCAGGTCGTAGTTATCTCTCTCTCAAATTAAATCGAAAGCAACTGGACTTGTATTTGTCTGTGGAAGACGTTTCGCCTCTTATCCAAGCGGCTTCATCAGTTCTTATGTATTGGTCTCTCTAGTCCGCACTAGTCTGACTAAGGATAAGATGTTTACATGTGCAAAAATATAATCTCTTTATTCAAAAACCTGATTATCGCTGACCATGTATCCCTATATTTTGTGATTAGTTTGTTTGTTTTTTTTAACGTAAACTGAAGGATTATGTGTTGCTTTATAGATTAAGAAAAATTCTCCTTTTAAAGCTACATGAACCATGCAGAACCTGAAAAATGTTGTCACAAAACTAAAAACAAGGCTGTTTTCTTTGATCATGCACAGGTTTGGAGATATGTGGGTTTTACAGGACAATGATGATATGGTTGCCCATAATGTTTGATCAAATGTACAATTTCATCTGTGTTGAGGCAAAACTTGTTTTATTTTCTATAGACAATACAACAATGAGTACTTCCTTGTAGCATGATTATCACAGAGGTACGGTACATACATGAAAGTGTCACAGTAAGAACCACTTGTACAGATCAGGTACAACTCTGTACTCCTTGTTCATGCCCACATGATGACAGGCCTGACAGATCGCATGTGCAAACTCATGATTCTCCTCCGTAAGATGACGTCTGACAGTATAGAATTGCCGCCAGCTAAAGTATCTTATATAAGCCTCATCATCCTCATCCAGCCTGAGGAGGAAATCAGCCAGTGTCATAGCATCAGGAAAGTCATTTACATGTATGAAGGAAGTACCTGGGGCAAAGTCCTCGTAGTTGTTTCTCGGTGGGCCCAAAACTATCGGCACAGTGCCAGCTGTGAGAGGACCATTGAATGTTTCTGTAATGTAATCTCTGTGAATTGAATTCTCAAAGGAAAGGAAGAATTTGCAGCTGCTAATAGTCCGGAAATAGTTTTCACCCTTCAAGCTCTCCGCAGAGGAGCTGGAAAAGACATGCACCTTTATGTATTTTACAAGCTCTATGTAATAGCTGTATCTCTCCACTGATGTCGCGCTGAGGTCACTCTTATCCACAATCCAACAAAGCAATCGTTGTTTCCTTGGTAGCACAAAATGCTCAGCTGGTTTCTTTTTGACAGTCAGTTTCCAGCGAACGTGGATGTCTGCATCCTGCCTGTAGCTCAAGGTTAAATTAAAAAGGCCTTGAAGGCCTGCTATCCTGTGTGTGTTGGTGGGTGAGTCCATGTTAAACCAGATCCACCTTTGAAATCGGGGTCTTGGTGAGGTGGGAAGGTTGGAGAGGTCATCATGGATAGCTCTGTGAAATATCACAACTGCCTCAGCCCTGGAGTACAAAGACCTATCATCTGTGAGGTGGCAGCTGTCAATGTCGAAAAGCTTCTTACAGTCTTGAAAATCAAAACTTTTGTTTTCAGGCCAGAACCACAGCAGCACGATAGGCTTGACAGTCTGTTGTGTCTCTGCAGTGCCGTTTGGCCGCCTTGAATAAGCCGGGAGAGGATGCCATTTGGGAGATGAAAGTGAGGTATAGTGCATTAAAAACAGGACTATGGCTCCAGCCAGCATGAGAGTCACTGTCAGGATGGCTCGTAAAATAGAAAAATTGGGAGAAGAGGCCATATTAAAACTGCAAGGAAAGAAGATCCTCTTATCATGATCATTGGCAACACATATCCTCATCAATTTTGAAGAGTTTTAGAATCTATACTAAGTGTTAAATCAGAAGCAGCAGGGGTAAGTCATTTAAGAATTCATAATCCCAAAAAAAAAAAATCTATTACCAAAGTAGCATGAGAAGTGAAATGGATGATCATACAATTTTTGTTTGGATCCAAATTAACATCATTTCTGCAATAGAAAATGCTCCTCCACTAAAAAGCGGTGGCAATGATAATTTTTCAAAGCAGCAAATCAGGTGGAAGGTAAGCTATAGTGAAATACCTGCTGGTCCCGTGAAGCTGGAAATGCTGTTCCTGCTTGGAAGAGTGTGAGTGTGTAAATATTCTGCTGGATTCAGAATGTGACTGAGGGGTTGGGCGAGTGAAACGCAGCTTAGGAAAACTTGCTGGCTTTTCTCTCACTCTTTTGCGGCGAATCCCTTCAGATGTCACATTTGACTGATGTCCCACCTTCTCATTAGCCTAACCAATACTCTGTCAGGCTGGGCGGTCAAACATTACTAAGAGAAATTTGACTTTTAAACAAGTGATTTTCATAAAGGTTGGGTAAGTAGCTGTTGGGTGTTCAAAATTCAAATTGAAACATGCAAAATCAGTCCTGAAAGGAGGTGTTGTAGTAGCTGCAGTGCATCTCCAACTTTACCAAGTGCTACGACAAAGGCAGAAAATAGAAAAATTAACAAAGGCATAACCATATTTGAAAATTAGGTAACTTTATTATGATTTACACAAAGCAAACTGGTTATAGCTACAAAGTGAAACAAATGAATAAATAATGTAAATCACCTTCCCCATATAAAATGTATTAAAAGTATTGGAATTATCAGCTATAATTGTAAATGTATAGTCATTTATTTGTCTATGGATATTACATTCATAACAGCACAGTCTCAGAGATTCAGTCCCTTAACCCAGCCGAACAAATCATGTTACAAACCAGGATCTTTGCATCATCATCATCCATCTTCTAATCTTTTACCTCCACTGTTGGGTGTGGAAGGAAAAGGTATAGAAAGCAGGGGTGAGCCTTTGACATGACAAATGAATCAAAGCAAATACTGGTCACAAACAGCATCTTTGTCTCTGTCTCATCCCACCTGGTCTTACTGGATCATTGGAGCAATACACACACAACAAGTGAAAGGAAGACAGATGAAACCGGTGTCAGATGGATGTTTGCTTTCTACTGTAAATACCACAGTTTATTCGATGTGCTTCACTTTGTTTTATTGCGCAAAAGCTGTACTCACAAAAAAAACCCCCAAAAAAACCTGCTTTTCATGACCAGTACCACCCATAAAGGTCATTGACTACATGGTAATCCCTGTTTTTCGACATGTGGTCACAAGCGAGGCAGATGGGCTGAATGAATTCATTTTGCATTGACAGAAGATGAGGAGTGGCTGTGTAGTGCTTTCTCCACTCAAAGTAACATATGTACGCTTCACTATTTGTGTCCAAGTAGTTCAGAAACTCTGCCAGTGATTTAGGATCAGGGAAATCATTGATGTGAATGAAGGAATCAGAGGGAATGAACTGCTCGTAGTTTTCTCTTGGTGGACCCAAAACTACAGGGACCGTCCCTGCCACGAGGGGCCCGTTCACCTTCTCAGTGATGTAGTCTCTGTGGATTGAGTTCTCAAATGAGAGGTAAAACTTACAACTAGCAATGGTTGAGTAATAGTCCTCGTAACTTAACAATTTCCCTGAAAAAGCACCAAAGAGATGGATCTGTATGTGTTTGGACAGTTCACGGTAATAGTTCTCTCTCACAGCTGTTCCAGTAGCTGGATTGTTGTTACTGACGATCCAACACACCAGTTTGTCTTTCTTGGGCAGAACAAAGTCATCTTTCATCTCTGTTTTCCTGATTATCAGCTCATTCCTCACCGTGATGTCAGCATCTCGTCTGTAGCTCAGTGTTAAGTTGAACAGGTTGTCCAAACCTGGAATCTTCGCTGTGTTCGTAGGAGATTCCACATGGTACCAAATCCACTTCTGAAAAGTTGGACGTGGGTCCTTAGGCATGTTCTGCAAATGCCAGTTTATATCTCTATGGAAGAAAATGACTCCCTGTGCTTTACTGTACATGGATCTATTATCTGTCAGTAGGCAGCTATCAATGTTGAAGTAGGTAGAACAGGTCTTGAAATCAAACCTCACACCAAGAGGCCAGAACCACAGCAGGACTATGGGCTTCTCAGTGGGATCCATGGCTTCATAAGCGTCTTCATCCATTAATGTACAGGTAGATGATGGACAAACAGGGGATGGTAGCTCAAAATACAGAGAGAATGCAAGAACAGAGCCGATGAGGCCAAGAGCAGCAGTTGTTGCTAAACACAAAGTTTTCCTGGAAGCTGCTGACATCATCTGTGGAAGCAGAAAAAGAGCCTCACGTGATCTCTTTGATAACTGCGTCATGAATTGTAGTTCTACAACTGACCATTAGCTAAACCTAAAAAGTGACTGTCCAAGCTGTGAGTTTGTGTGCATTCACATTGACAATCATGGCATCATGCAGTGAACTATGATCACTTGGATAGTGTACTCAAAACAGGCAAAAACTTGACTGTGGAATCCCGGACACCCGCCATCTTGGCTACATAGCGGAACGGGAGTGACCACCACTGTGTTTCAGACTCATGAAAATGGCAGCCGTGGAAGGAGGACACGGTGTCGTCACCGATAGGCACACACAATAAAGTAAAACATAAAATTTTTTCAAAGCAGCCGGCAGACATTTTGGTTTGGGGACAACCATGATCAAATGTTGCAATCGTAATTTCCGATAGGTGCACAAAGGCTGTGTTTGATTTGAGGTATACACTGTTAGCCTAGCATTGTTAGCAGAAGTGTTGGGAATGGATTAAGATCCTTCGTAGGCCGGGCCGTCTCATTTTGGTTCGGCCTTTGCGGTCTACAATGGCTAAGAGGGGTCACACCTTTCTATACCATGTCTCCCAATGGCTGTAGCCCCTGAAATGGAACACAGCTATCATCACGTGATATGCATTTTTAGGTGTGTAAGTATGGACGGAGAGTATTTCTGATACGGAGCTAAAACACTTGTCTGGTCAGAGATTGGTTTCCTTTTAAAACACTCTTTTATAATGAAAACGTATTAGTGTGGACGGAGGCTGTGTTTAGTGAGTGGGGGAGAGCAGCAGCACGGTTGGGTGACCAATCGGCAGCCAGACAGAAATGTCTGCGATAACGACCGTCATCAGCTGTTTTAATAAAATAAAAGTCTGATCATTTTTTTACTCCATACTCATGATTCTAGGGCTAACAGACTCTGCTCTGCAATACCAAGAACAATGCTGTTTTTTTGTTTCAATGTCATTTACATGGTTAAGAACCTGATGAGGATTCTAACTTTGCATTGGACATGTTAGCAATTATGACAGTTATTTAACATCTAAAAAGTCCTCTGAAGAAATAAAACAAGAACACACAAGCACTTTGCAATGCCTATAATTTAGTAAATCAACAGTACAGTCAATATTCTAATCCCCTAGAGGAATTAAGATTATCATCACTAAATAGAAAATGCTGTTCTCACCTTTCCATGGAGTATAAAGGTTGGATGTCTCTCTCTGGTATTCTGGCAGGTTTCCGTCACTTGAACACATGTGAACGCTAAAATATGGACGAGGCTAATCTCCTGAGTTCAACAAAAGAAACCAGTTTTACTTGCTTACATTGCTGGACACACATTTTTTAAATTCACATTTTAGACTTCCTCTATCATTTGGAATCATGATCAAGATGGTCCAGATAGTAGTGATCATGATCATAACTTACACACAAATCGACGAACACACCACCAAACAGTTTTCAAAAAGAAAGGACAAACTAATGCCATCGGCCACAGCTATGTTCCCACCAGTGGGAAACATAGCTGTCATTTATCTCTGTCCTCACTTTTCCACCTGCAGAAGCCACCCAACCCTGCACACAAGCCCAAAAACAAACAACAGCCATCTCACAAAAGCTGGTAATGGCTGTAGACCAACATCAGTCAAACCTGGAAATGCATGCACGCAAATGAAAGGACATTTGAGAACATGTTTTCATGAACATGTGAAAGTCAAATTTGTGTGTTGGGAGCGTGAATTACTTTGACTAGACTGGTCTTTGAATAGCACACAACAAACGACAAACACACTCTGTCTTTAAAATACTGCCTCTCCGGTACTTTCTCTGTGGTGAGCACACACCTTCTGAGACATGCTTTGGAGTCATTGTAGAAAATATTATTGGTTATGATGAATAATACCATCCATCCATCCATTTTCTACCGCTTATCCTCTCGTAGGGTCGCGGGGGGGCTGGAGCCTATCCCAGCATCCTTTCAGGCGAGAGGCGGGGTACACCCTGGACAGGTCGCCAGTCCATCGCAGGGCACACAGAGACAAACAACCATTCATTCTCACATTCATACCTATGGTCAATTTGGAGTAACCAATCAGCCTAGTCCCCATTTGCATGTCTTTGGACTGTGGGAGGAAGCCGGAGTACCCGGAGAGAACCCACACAAGCACGGGGAGAACATGCAAACTCCACACAGAAAGACCCCGCGCCCGAGCCGGGACTCGAACCCGGAACCTTCTTTGATGAATAATACATTATCTGAAATATTATGTATACTTCAGAAATGGGTAGTTTTAAATTAGATTTGAACATTTGATAGGTTGTTCCAACACATTTTTTGTATTTGTCAGGGGTGCAAACAATTAAATAAAATAATAATAATGTGGCAGATAATTTTCACGTTTAGTTTCCTTTATTTAACCAGGTATGGTCCTATTGAGATTCCAAATCTTCAAAAGAGACCTGGTCAAGACCACAGCTGCAATAACATAAATGTAAAAACATTATTATAAGTAGGAGTAATTAGCTTGATAAATGTATCTAAATATAAAGGTAGGCTATTTTGTAAGTATTTCACTGGTATTTACAGTTTTTTTTTTTTTAAACCGGTAATATGTATTGCTCAATACTGACTTCACTTTTTCATTACACTTCACACACTTCAAAACCCGACATTATAAAAAAAATGTATGTAAACCTTAAATTACATGTATAAAAGTTGTCACTGTATGACTGTCGGGTGAATGTTCAAGCAAACGTTTTTGGTGTTGTGATGTGGTATGTGAAATGTGTGCTGCTGATGGATGGCAAATTGTTTGTTTTTGTGCAACAAATTTTAAACAAAGGCAACAAGTCACACTGGTGGTGTTGACACACCCATCTTTTTTATAGCATGCAATGAAAACTGGATTGAGACAGATTAGCAGCAGGACAGTGAGAATCTTCCAGTGAGGTATTTTATCTCTGTCTCCATTGAATGTAAAAAGGTCAAACAGACAGATATGGATGGGAAAAGGACAGCTCTCTTGTCTCTCACTGATGCCAATAGAATGATTTTCTATGGTCAAAGTTTGTCTTTGTTATGCAGTCCATCCATAATTCAAATCCTCTGATTGGATTGTTGTCTGGGTCAAGACACATCGAGGCATCTGTAACGAGGTAGAAGACACACAGAGAAGAAGCAGAGGGTGATGGACGTAAAAGGTGTTTTTGTCAGATTGTATTTTAGGTTTTGCTGTCACAGGGGTGTATGGATATTTACCAAAGACAGAGCAGGAAGAGCTGCCTATAGAGCACTTAACGTACATTTGTCTGGAGTTTTCCATGTTGGAAAAGTATGTAAAAATGTTGATTATTTAATATGTCGGTTTTATGCAGCCTTAAATGACATCATTGTCCACAACCCCAAGTCCTCCATGTTTTGGACAGCATAGTTTAAAGCTGAGAAGTTTCAAAAGAGAGGAACACTTTGCACATCTATTTAGTGGTGGGGGAGGTAGCAGGTACGTAGGAGCGTGATGAGTGGATCCAAAAACCCTGCACACTGTTAAACAATTCATTTGCAATGTTTCAGTGTTTTTTTTTGTGCCTGACAAACTATTTCATTTGATGCGTTTGAGGCAGTTAGCTTAGCTTAGCACAGAGAGTCAAAACAGCTAGCTTGACCTTTCGACACTTTGGCTTTTGTAGGGATTATGATTAAACGCACAAGATGTAAAGTATTCATTAGTGAACTTTAGAGGTGGCACATTTTTTTACCCTAGCGAGGCAAGCTGTTTCCAGACTTTATTCCTGCACAGCTTCTGTACATTCATAAAGACAGAGAAGAAAGCTGAAGTCTGTTGTGTTCATAAATGTGCAGATGGCAGAACAACATGGTCGTTTTCTGTCCATCTTTTAAACGTGACTTAATAAGTGAACAATAAGAGGAGAACAATACGCACCACAGTGTTATCAGTCTTCTTGAATAGGTGTACTTCTTTTCTGAACTTTAAGGGTGATGGCTGGGCTGAGCAGGAAAGACAGTATCTGTTGGCACATTCTCATCCAGGTGACTATGTGATGGAGGCAAAGAGGGCAGTTCCAAAACACGGCATGCTCAATCCATCAACGTCAACTCTCACACCTTCTTCTGATACTGAAAGAAGATTAGAGATAAATCGTTAGATAGAGAGATAGGAGATAAACTGGTCATCCACTGTACTCGTACAGCACAATATTCTTTCTCTCACAAGTAATGCAAGTACTATAATTGAGTTCTTACTTACCCTACCGTATTCATATGACAAATATAATTTCTAGTTATTTTGGAGATTAATTTTATATATACAAAACCTATGATCATCCTCTAGGAAAATAGATGAGAGTTGTAGACTGACTGTATCAATGACTGACTGGATGGAAGTTGCTGAACTGTATAAAATTACTGAATAAAAAACAGTATCATCTGCATTAAAATGAAAATTATATCTATTATTAATACAGATACAGATTAATACAGATAGTAAATAATACCGGAGCTAGGAACCCTGTGGAGGAAACTCAGATTTAACATCACCCACTTTTATACACTGCTGCCTGTGTGAGATAGGTTACCTGTGTTGAAAGTGAGATAAGAATGAGTCAAGATTACAATTTTTTGAATTCCTTTTTACAACTATACAGAACTTGGTTTTGGGCAAATGGACATTTCTGGTAAACATAATTGGGTAATGGTCACTCATATCTAGTTGGAGGACACCACTATTAGATTATTTGTGTGGATTATTTGAATGAGGATATGAGAATGATATCAGTTAATGTTGAAGGATTCTTATCTCTGTTCATATGTAGGTTCAGAAATTAGATCCAGAAATGAAAATGTGGCATTTCTGTGACTCCAGGAAATCCAACAGGTGGACAAAGTCCAGTTTGAGGAGTTCTGACTGTTGATTTGGGAAGTCGTTCAATCCCACGTGGACCACAATGTGATCTAACCTTGGATGGTCCCGTATAATCTCTGTGATTCTGCTGGAAATGTCCTCGACCCTCACAACAGGAAAACAGTCCGTTTTTGCTATCGTCATCCTGATATTTCAGACTCTAGAGTCACCTTTGACCACAGTTGTGAGGTGCAGGTGCTCTGCCATGATGGTGGAGGTGGGGATGGTGGAATGGGATGTGGTGCAGGATGCGGTGGATTAACAGACACCCTGGGGTTACTTCACAGAGCTGGACTAATTGCTGGAGTAATTACTGCCTGTGACTTTCAAAAAAAGAATTCAGTATATTTAACTGAACTTGGCACATTTCCACACATTTGTGTACAAACATAAACACACATGCACACAGTTTTGAGATACAAAAAAAAACATGAACAGCAGCGTGCCACTTCAGTCAGTCATGTGAGAGGACCGTGTTACACACACATCATTAACTCACAGTATCAAATCCACACACACACACACACACACACACACACACACACACACACACACACACACACACACACACACACTCACCATCACAGTGAGGGTTTTCCAGGCATTATTAACTGGTATCTGAGGTGCATTATCAGTACAGCACAAGAAAACACATGCACGCACACGCACACACACACACGCACATGCACACACACACACACACGCACATGCACACACACACACACACAACCCCCCCCCCCCTTCCACACACACACACACACATGTGTTTGAGTTCAAGTTCTGTCCATCCAAAGGCTCCAGATGGTGTGTGGCCACGCTGCTTTTGGTTCCACTCCAAAATGGTTGGAGGGGAAATGGTAAACTGGTCATCCATTGCAGTCCTCAGCTCCAGATGTTGCCACGCACACACACACACACGCACACACACACACACACGCACCGTAACTGCTTCTTTGTCAAACAACAGTGTGGATTATTCATTGCTTATTTCCTGTTACACACTAAAAAAACAGAAAAAAAATATTTGCATCCTTTCTTTGGGCAGTAAGTGAGAGTAAGACAGGAGAGGTTTTTATTTCACCTCCTACTGATGACTTGGGGAAAGTAAAGGAACCTGAGAGGATGGTGTGTATCAGCATGTGTGTGTGTATGGAGTACAGTTGGGTTGGAAGGAAAAGGAAGAAAAGGGATGGGAGAATAGAAAAGTAATGAAGAAACCCTGGTGGAGGAATGGAAGGACGGCCGAGGACATGGATACAGCCAGGGCCGGCTTTAGACAAGGGGGAGCCTTAGGCAAGGTTTTCTTTGGGGACCC